GTTTTTTTTAATGTTTTATTTATTTTTGAGACAGAGACAGAGCATGAGAGGGGGAGGGGCAGAGAGAGAGGAAGACACAGAATCTGAAGCAGGCTCCAGGCTCTGAGCGGTCAGAACAAGGGCTGGAACCCACAAACTGTGAGATCATGATCTAAGCTGAAGTTGGACGCTTAACCAACTGAGCCACCCAGGCACCCCTCATCAAATATGTTTTTTAAGTTTATTTACTTATTTAGAGAGAGAGAGAGAGAGAGGGTGCACATGAGTAGAGGGGGAGAGAATCCCAAGCAGGATCCACGCTGTCAGCACAGAGCCTGATTCAGGGTCCTGAGCCAAAATCAAGTTAGATGCTTAACTGCCTGAGCCACCAAGGCACCCCTGGAGTACTCCTTCACAGCATACCTCAGGTCACTCCTTGCTCAAGACCCTGTGACAGCTGTTCATCTCAGTCTGGAGACTCACAGATTTACAAAGCCCAACCCCACGCATTCTGACCACATCTTCTGCTGCTGTCCCCCTCCTCCCTGCCTCTCTGTCACACTCTTGCAGTTCCTCAGACACAACTGGTCTCAGGGCCTTTGCACTAACTGTTCCCTCTGCCTGGAATCATCTTCCTCCAGATTTTGGCATGACTGGCTCCCTTATTTCCTACCAGTATTTCTCAAATGCCACCTTCTCAGTGAGGCCTACCCTGACCATCCTATTTGAAATTGCAACCTCGCTGCTCCAGCAATTCCCAAGCTCAGTGTGACTTCCTATATTTTCCATACCACTTATTACCTTCTAACACATTTGTTATGGTTTCTGTTATTAACTGAATAAAAGTTAGTGGGAGAGACAGATAATAAACAGGAAATAAAAGCATGAGTATAGGGAATGTTCTGTAGTGGCTAGTGCTATCATGAAAATACACCCCAGGGATGTGATAGACTTGAGGATGAGCTACTTGACATCGCATAGTCAGGGAGAGGACATTTAAGCGGAGACCTAGTTGGTGTGAAGGAGCCCTGAGAAGTTAGAACTGAGGGATAGAGGTAAGAAGGAACATTCTAGGCTGCAGGAACTGCAAAGGCTAGAGCTCTGAGCTGGGAACCACCAAATTCATGGGCAGATATTCCGACCTCCCTGGCTTCCAGGGCCGTCAGGAACCCCCAGCCTCCTGCGTTTGGTTGTGCATTCGGGGAACCCTCACCACAAGCCTACCCTTGGACCAATTCCAGGCAGAGCCCTGGGGACCGCGGGTGGGTTGCAGGCCGGTGGGAGTGGCGGAAGCAGAAATCGATAAACCCCAGAAACAGAAATGTGGGCGCTTCTGGAGCCGGGTGGGGTTGCCAGGAAGCTCGGCGGGGCCTCGCAGACTGGATAGGAGCCCGCCCAAAGGAGGCGCCGGGCCCAAGCCGTCCCAGGCTTGGCTCAGTGGGAAAAGTGGGCCGGGCGGGGAGAGGGGGCTGGAGAGGGGAAGAGAAGGACTCCGAAGTCTCCTGGCGGTGGGCTGGGTCCGAGGCCCGCGGACGACCTGCGGCGGGGCCCTGGGTTCGAGGTCTCCCGCCGCTGACCAGCTCCGTGGTTCTGGCAAGTCTCGGCCTCTCCGGCCTCAGTTTCCCTCCCGCGTGGATCCAGAAGCCGCTTCGCAGATCCCCGGGTGAGCTGTGGGAGGGGAGGGGGGGGATGGTAACTCGAGCCGCCGCCCGGAAGGGGTCTCCCGGCGATCGCAGCCGTTCACCCGGCGGAGGCGCGAGGCCGGAGCCTTGCCCAGGCGCAGGCGCAGCCCACCGCCTGAAACACCACTCCAGGCTTCGGCGCGCCATACGTGCTCCGGCGCGATGGTGGCTTGGAGCCCACGAACTCTGGGAGGCGGCCCCCGGGAGGGGAGGCGTGACCCAGCAGGGACGGTAATGGCAGGGGCAGCCCCACTGCGCCGGGATGGGAGGTTCCCGGGGGAGGCGGCCAGGCACCTGGGGCAGTGGCGGGTCAGGGGTCCCACCGGTGGCCCCCAGGCCGGTGAGTCAACGCCCCAGCACCGTCCAGCTCCTCCTAACAAAAGAACCAGCGAGACGCGGCGCACAAACTCCCACCGGCTCCGCAGTCAGGGGCCTCGCACCCCTCCCAGGCTCGCGGCAGGGGCGGGAGCCCCTGCCTCCTCCCGCTCAGCCCCTCTCCCGCGCCCCGGTGCCCGGGCGGACGCAAACTCGGCCGGGGCAGACGCATCAGGCTCCTCCTCCTCACCGACCACCCCCCACCACTCGTGGGCCCCATAGAGCCTTATCATGACTGATCTTACTTTTATTTCTTCCGTAATTCATTTTTTTACATTCATTATTATTTACTTTTGTCTATTTTACTGTATCTCCCAGCAATTTAGGCTCCAGGAGGAGGGAGGCTGCTGCGTTGGCGTTTTTTTCTCACTTATGGCCCAGATGCATATTCCTGGATATTGGAAGTCAAACGGGGGGGGGGGGGGGGGGGGGGGGGAGGAGAAGAGGCGGCAGCCATGCAAGGTGAAGTCCCACAGGAAATTCTGGGGTTGGGGATAATGCTGTAAACACAAATGAGATAGATCATTGTGGCACGAAGGAAATGCAAACAGAAGTGAGGGGGCTGCTGGTTGGGTCACCTTAGATCAGGTCACCTTGGTGATCAGGACCACTTTGGATACAGCCATCAGGACAGACCTCTCAGATTAGGTGACTTAAAAGCCAACCTGCGACATGTGCTAGAAGGGAAAAGCAGGAAGCTGAGGACACTTAACTCTGACCTAGCCTTAGGGAGTAGAGTACTGAGTTCTGAGAAGTGATATTCAATTGCTCCTTATTAAGGGCCTGGCCTGAGTGAGTGGGTGGGTACGGAGATGATCAGGGTAGGCCTCCTGGAAGAGGTGGTGGTTTTTACTGGGCTCCTAAGACTGAGCAGGAGTTCTCATCCCCTAGGAGGGGGGGGTCACTGGGTTTGACAATTGTTTTGCAGGTGCCCTAGGAACCACATAGTCCGTGTGGCCAGACAAGCCAGGCCCCTGCCCTCTTGCTGTGAGCTCTGCTGGTAAGTGAGTCACTGCCAAGGCTTGCCCCTAGAAGATATGAGGGAATCGGGAGACCCAAGTTCTGCTTCTGGCTGGTCATGCAGCCTTGGGCAGTTCATCTTCACTGCTCTGGGCCTCAGTTTTTCATGAGTCAGGAGGACAGTTGAATTAGGTGTCACTTACGATCCGTGAGGCACCGACAGTCAGTGGCTGAGGATGGTCCTACCCAGCCACGCCTTGTGTTTGTACCACACTCGTTTACTGCACAGATCCATATCTAAGCCCCCACTGATGGAGGAATGGGGCAGGCCTGCCTCACCCTGCCCTCATCTGGCCTCGAAGGCTGCGGATTCTTACTAAAGGGTAATTGCGCCATCAATGAATGAGAGGCCGCGGGGGCCCAGGAGGGTCACAGAAACCCTGGAGGTTTGGCCTCAGGGTTGGAGCTGAGGGGCCCCTGGGTCAGGGGATGGTTTAGGCATAATGATTTCTATGGGTTCTGTGGGCTCAGGATCCATTTCAGCTCAGCTGATACCTTTTTCTTTGGATTTTAAAAAGCTGTGTCAAAGCCCTCCATACCTCCTGGTCTGGTACACGTTATCATTTTCTCTGAGCCCTCTGGTGTCCAGTTTTTTCCATGACCCTCACAACAACCCTTTGAGAGCAAAGTCCGGGGAGGCTAGCCCATTTCACAGATGAAGACACTGAGAGCCTCAGGGCACACAGCAAGTGAGTAGAGGCCACAGAGCTGGGGCCCAGATCTCCTCCAGAGCCAGCGTTCTTTTCCCCACAGGAGCACAGAGGCTGCCTCCCTCTCTGGCCCTCTCCCGCCGCCACTTTTTTTTTTTTTTTCCTTAATGTTTTTATTTTATTTTTGAGAGAGAGAGACAGAGTGCGAGTGGGGAAGGGCAGAGAGCAAGGGAGACAGAATCTGAAGCAGGCTCTAGGCTCTGAACTGTTGGCACAGAGCCTGATGCGGGGCTCAAACTCATGTTTAACCAACTGAGTCACCCAGGTGCCCCCCCCTTTTTTAATTTTTTAAAAATGTTTTCCCCTCACAGTTCTTATGGGAGCCATGAAGCTGAACGAGAGGAGTGTAGCCCACTATGCACTGAGCGACTCCCCAGCAGACCATACGGGCTTTCTGCGCACTTGGGGCGGGGCAGGGACTCCCCCCACTCCCAGTGGCACTGGCCGAAGATGCTGGTTTGTTCTCAAAGGCAACCTGCTGTTCTCCTTTGAGAGCCGAGAGAGCAGGGCCCCGCTGAGCCTGGTGGTGCTGGAGGGCTGCACGGTGGAGCTGGCCGAGGCTCCAATGTCTGAGGAGTTTGCCTTCGCCATCCGTTTCGACGCCCCTGGTGTGCGCCCACACCTGCTTGCGGCAGATGGGCCCGCGGCCCAGGAGGCCTGGGTGAAGGCACTGTCCAGGGCGAGCTTTGGCTACATGCGCCTGGTGGTGCGCGAGCTGGAGAGCCAGTTGCGAGATGCCCGCCACAGTCTGGCCTTGCATCGCCACTCATCCTGGAAGGCCATTACCAGCCGCTATAAGCCCCAGGCTCCTGACCATCGGCCTCTGGGCCTGGAAAACGGCCACTCCCTCTCCAAGGATTGCAGCCCTGTGGACTTGGGTGAAGAAAGTGGCAGCAGGCCAGCAGGGCAGGGCTTGGCCGAGTTGCAGGGCCCTGCCGGCCTCTTCCTGGGCAGGAGGCAGAGCCCCCTGTTCCCTGAGACCTTCTACTTCTCTGCCTTGCACAATTGGTATGGCCAGGAGATCTCGGAGCTGAGGCAGAGGTGGATGCAGAGGGCCCGGGGGAGCCGGCCAGAACGTGAGAAACAGGATGGGCACTGAGCCTCGGCTCTTTGGGTTCTTCCCTTGTCCTGCTGGTCAGGACACCAGAACCAGTGCTTCTCCAGGAATTTAATGTTTATTTGTTTTAAAGTTGCTTTTTTTGAGAGGGTTCTCTCCTTCCTGCTTTTTAGGCCTCCTCCAGGCTCCAGATCCACCTTTGTGCCTGGAGGGGGACCAAGGAATCGTTACTTGCAACCCCTTTGTTTCCTGAGGCCCAGAGAGGAGGGGATGCTTGCTCAGCAACCACAGGGCCAGACCCAAGTCTCCTGACTCTGTGCTGGACTGCTCCGCTCTCAGGGAATATTAATGAAATGGAGGAAGTGGGGACTATTGCATGGCCTCAGGCTGCCCTGCCTGTTTACCTACACAACAGACTCTACAACCACAACTTCTAACACAGGGAGTTGTGTGTACATTTAAATACCAGAAGCTGGCTGAAATGTTGGCTCAAGGGACTGACACTGTCAGAGAAAGTGGATTTATTGTCCTGGGGGTTTCTGGGGCCCAGCTCTTCCTGAGCGGTGGGAAGATTGGGCATAGGAACTGCAGTTTGGGTGGGGCCCTTTGGAGGGGCAGGGCCTTCAGCCAACGAAGAGGGATTGATTCTTCTCAGCAAGTGTTGGGGCCTCCATCTTCTCTCCCTGGCTGCCTTGTCTATAGATGGTGCTGGTCATTGTCCCGAGAGGGGCTGGGAGCTTTTTATGTCAGCAGAAATCCTTCCTGTATTCTGTCCTTAGCAGCCAGCTCCTGGAGCTGCCAAGTGGGAAGCCAAAGAAGCGAGGAGGCAATGTGGCTCTCTGGGGAAGCCAGGTTGTTATTTTGGTTTTCAGTCGAGGGCATTCTGGGAGTTTGAACACCAGGATAAATTCTTCTAACTGCTCCCAGAGAGCTGTTCCCAACCCTGAACCCCTCCTAGGAACTCATTCACCATCCTGCTTGTCAGCCAGCGCGTATCTGCCAAGACCCTCTCACTGCTACTCTCAGCAGCATGGCGCCAAGTGTTTTATCGATTATTTTGGGAGGCAAAGTGGCTGCGTCTAGAGAGCCAGCAGCCAGACTAGCCTGAGCCCTAGAGGTGAGGCAGCAGTGGCTGGATGGAAGATGCAGAACCTGGTCAAGACATCCCCCCCTCTCCATACACACAGTCTGCCCCTTCTTAGACTCTCAATCCCTTATTAGGGCCTTGGGTAGCCTGACCAGGGCCAACGAGGTCCAGAGGCTGTGACCGACAGCCTCTTAAGTCCAGCACGCCCAAGGCCACCAGAGTCCAGAACCGGTTCCTGCCAGGCTTGTGTCCTAAGAAGAGGGGCTACCTTCCGAACCCTGTACAGGAGTCCCACAGCCCACTGCGCCTTGTTTTCTACACAGACACTATAGGCTTTTATCTTTCTTATGGTTACAGTATTTTTATATGATTAAAACATGAGGTTTTTATTACTCATTTTGGTTCCTCAAAGTTTATTTTAACAACCACTTGACCAATTTGTGCAAAAGCCCCATTTCTCCCCTTCACTTATGGTTTACATTTGCCTATAGAGAACGTATACCTTGGCAAGAAATAAAATTCCCAAATCACCCAAGTAGTACAACTAATACATTTATATTTTTTAAATATTAAAAAGAGAAATACAATTGTTTCAAGCTCAATTAAAGTCATTTCTCTTCTCAACAATCACCCACTCTGCCAAACCCTGGCTGTTCTGGCTGAGTGAACAATACGAGGGGTCCACGAGGACCGCCAGCCAGAAGACCCCGCCCGGCATGCCCAGAATCAGCCGGCTGTTGGGGCATCGGCATCCTCCTCGTGACGTCACCACGTCCGGCCGGTAACAAACGCCTCTTTTCCACCGCATAGGGGAACTAGGCGCATGCGCAAGTGTGAGAGCTGGGCCTCTCGTCTGATCTCAAGGGTCTCGCGAGGCTTGCGGCCGTGCTCTCCCTGAGGACGTCACAGGGGCTGGGCGGTGGGGCCCGGGTGCCGAGCTAGGGGCGGAGCTGGGAGATGGCGTCCGCAGCGGCTCGCTGGCTGGCATTGGCATCCGTCCGATCCGGGGCTTTACGGAGCGGGCCGAGCTTGAGGAAAGGTGGCGATGTCTCCGACGGAGGGGGTGGCTCAGGTCGGAGCCTGGTACCGTCGAGGTCAGTCATCGTTACTCGCAGCGGCGCCATTTTGCCCAAACCGGTGAAAGTGAGTGTCTGCCTGGAGGCGGGGCGAAGGGGCCGAGGCCAATCATTATGGGGATTGTGTGCGGGTCGACGCCGACTGATAGGTGCAAAGGCCAATCATACAACCGCCTTAGACCGGAAGACGGATCAAGGACAAAGTTTAGCAATGATGCCCTGCGAATTTTGACAGGTGGGAGGAGATGGTCGGGTCAGATCCCGGTGTTGATTGAGTTGGGCGCAAGGAGACAGAGGATGGAGGGGTGGGGGAGCGAGAGCTGAGGACTGCACGTTGCACTAGTTTATCGTGAGGAGCGCGGTGCGCGAGTTCTCCAGGGCCACAAGACTCGGCTATATGCACCCGGTATAGACAAATCACGTAACCACTCTGTTCTTGTCAGCCTCAGAGTTGATGGGATGAAATAACGAGTTGTGAAAGGACTTTGTAAATAAATTGTACGTGGGACAGACCTTTTCTTCGTAGGAGTTTTGACCTAGTGTTTAATTCGTGTAATTTGCAACTCTGAGAGGTGTGCAGGAGGTATTACAGTCAGTTTTTATAAATGAAGAATCGGGCCAAAGCAGTGAAGCCAGTGAGGCTCCAAAGCGAGCAGCCCGTCAGGTCCTGGAATCCAGGTTTCTTGCTGGTCGACCCTCCTCCCCCGCCCACCTCCACCAGGTCCTATTTTTTCCACCACTGAATGCTCTCACGTGCCCTGAGTACCTTTGGATTTTTCTAAGTAAAATGGAAACAGCCCTTTAAGCCAAACAAGTTTGCTTTTTTACTCCGGTGCTGCGTGGGAGTTAACAAAACAAAAACAAATTCTCTTAAAGCTAATCCGGTCAGTGAGCTCAGGATTATTTCATGGGAAGCCGCAGGGTCCATGCTGGGGAAGAGCTGCCTTATAAAAAGGCACAGCTGAAAAAAAATTTTTTTTGGAAACTCCATACGAAAATATGAGAGGATATGTTGAGATTATACTGAAACTCCCTTAGTCCATCTAAAACAGCCAGTCTTTTAGCGTGAAGACATGCTCACTTTTCAAAACATGCTTGTTTTGAACATTTAATGTGGTGCAATTAAACTTCTCAGGCCCTGGGGAATCAGTTAAAGGACTGTATCCTTTCACTGTACATGCTCATTGTTTTGTAATCCATTTTCACGTATTTGGTGTCTTCAAGTAGAGGTGAGCTCTGTTTCCACAGTCCAGCTCTTAGTACTTTCTTACCTGTTTGTATCTGCAAGTAATTACCAGGTTGAGCCCTAATTTTTAGATGTCTAGAATGCCTTATACTTTTCTTCCCAGTATCCACTTTGATGACCATCATCTTATCAATTCTTCGAATTATTTTTCTTGCTCTTTTTCCGAGGACTTTAAAATCAAGTAGTTGCTTATCACAGGTCTGGGGTCCACAGGAGTGCCCCTGAGGGCCGGGCCTTCTGTGGTCCCACCAGAGTGGGCTCTGGAACTCACAGCCACCACTCTGACCCTCTGCAGATGTCCTTCGGCCTTCTCCGTGTGTTCTCCATTGTGATCCCCTTTCTCTATGTCGGGACGCTCATTAGCAAGAACTTTGCTGCTCTACTTGAGGAGCATGACATTTTTGTCCCAGAGGATGACGACGACGATGACTAACAGGTAAGACTTCTTTTCCCCTACATGGACTGGGAACAGGAAGTGGGGTGGGGCATCTAAACTGTGATGCAGTTTGGCCCTGTAGTAGTTTCCCTCACTTGAAGCAGAGGTGCAGACCCCTTAATAAAGTGACTCACTTGGCTGATGTTTTTATTTTGCCTTTTCTCTACATTGGATGAGGACAACTATCTTACTGACTTAGAAATTCACTGGGATCTTTTCCGACAAAGTTGATCCCAACCAGCCTTTTTATTTGCCCTTTATGTACCCTCGTTCTCTCAACCCGTAAGTTTTCTTAACGGTTTAATATGCTTTAGACACCCACCCCGAACAGCTTCATTCTCCACATTGAAATTTAGAAACTGCACATCCTCACCATGGTTCGCAAGGTTACCAAACTCCGTACCTGTACAGGCTGTACAGGCACAGCAACCTGGCTGTTCACAAACCTTTCCCCCGGTGCCTGTCCTTTTCACCTTTCGCGTCTTGGCTTCTCGTGCTCTAACGTGGGCTGCTTGGCTGCCTCTCTGTTGTAGATAAAGACAGTTCTGGCTCCGTAGTCTGGGATTCAAGGCTTGCCATGATCTGGTCACACCTCTTATTCCAGCCGCATCTTCCATATTCCCAACCACACACCTATCCCCACTATTCACTGTTTCTTGAATTACCGACAGGCTTACCCACCCCCGAGCAGTGGCTCACTCTTCCTGCCATTGGAAGGCTATTTCTCACTACACTTACTTTCACCAGTTCTTCATGATCTTTGATGAAGTCTTCCCTCATTCCTCCATCTGAAAGTGAGGCTGTGCCCTCTGCCCAGTCCCTCTTGTGACACTATTATACACTTAAGCACACAGACACACCTCCAAATTCTACTAGACGATGAGCTTCCTCCTGGCAGGGGACAGGGGGTTTGGTTTTGTTTTAAAGTAAGTTCTACACTCAGTATAGGGTTTGAACTCATGACCCCAAGGTCAAGAGAGTCTCATGCTCTACCAGCTGAGCCAGCCGTGTGCCCCAAGGAACATGTCTTTTATACCTTTGGGCCCCCAGTGCCTGGTCTCCGGTGAATGTTCAGGACATGTATGAAAGAATAAAACTGCCTTGCTCCTGCCTTGTTTGGTAGAACCTCCCTGGAATTCTCTTTTTGGTGTGTGGATAGAGCGCTGCTCCATGCCCAGTTCACTGCTACTTTCCTTT